AAGAAATCCGAAAAAGGCAGGATGGGGGCGGGGGTGGGGACGTCCTCGCTGCTCCATCCAGGCAACGTCGTGAAGAATAAAAAGCATCACTATTGATGCAAGGACTGGAGCATGGCTGGGGGCTGCACCCGTGGAGCTGGGCTTCTGGGTCCTACGGAAATTCCCCGTTTACCATCTTCGTAGGTGGTCCTTCTGTCTGCCTGCAAACTCCACTGATTGGGCGCTTCCCACCCAGTTCGGGGGCCGCGAGTCGGGGTCCAGCACTTGACGGGCACTTACACCTGGGGACCCCAAGCTCCCTCGGACAGAGTGCCTGCCGAGGGCCACCCCGCCTGCCTGGCCAGCACCGCCGCCCACGGGGCAGCTGGCAGCGGCGGGCAGTGCTTCGGGCGCTGGGGCTGGGAGGCGCGCGCAGCGCTCGGCGGCGCGGGCCCGACTCTGTGAACCGCGGCTGCTCAGAGGGCCGGCACCCCGCGGCCCCTCCGACTCAGTGGGCTGGCGCGTCCCCTGGCCGGGGCCCCGAGGACCAATCGCTCGGCGGGTTCATTGATCCGAGGCTGCCCCGGGCGGCCGCTTCTCTGGGACCCGCTGCCGCCCGGCTCCCGGCTCCGCGCGCGCGCGGCGGGCAGATGCTGCGGCGCCTCCAGGGAAGATCGGGCCGCGCGCTCGGTAAGTCCCCGCTCCCCACCACCCTTGAATGGGACTCCATACTGCCTGACCCCACGCGGGAGGCCTGGGAGGCGACGCGAGTGGCCGTCGTGGTTGCCCTGGGTTGCGCTCACAACTGGGACTCGCGCACTACTGTCCCGGGCGCATCCCCTCTGGGATGGCCTTCACCGACAAGAGAGGGTCGAGACTGGGCCATGGCCGTGGGCAGCCTTAGCGGCCCCTGCCAAGGGCCAGTCGGATGGACGAGAGCGCTGCTGGAGAGACGCGTCACCGCGCGTTTCCCTCGCCCAGGTCAGCGCCTGCCGCTGCCTCCCTGGCCCAGGTGCGTCCCGCCGCTCGCTTCCCGCAGAGCCCGCTGCCCAGCGCCGCGTGGTCTCCCAGGCGCAGGGCCGAGGAAACTTACGGAAAGTGATTGTCGCGTGCAGGCAAGGGTTCTCCCAGGAGGAAGCTCAGGGACGGGAGTGATGGGAGGGTGAGCGACCCATGGAGAAAGCTAACCACGGCAGAAGGCCGGCTACACCACCCCAAGGTCTCCCGGGCGCCCCTGCCAACTAGTTGTCCACCGCTTTCCCTGGACTCCAGGTGTCAGGAATCCGCGGAGTCCAGCCTCTGTCTTTTCTGTCAAATTCCTCCAAAATAATCTGTGTCCTCGTGAAGTACTGTCAGCTTCCCCAGTGTCTTGAAGGAAATGACTATATTTGAAGACTAAAACCAATACGTGCTTGACACTTCACTTTCAAATACAAACTGAGCAAACAAACAAAAATTTAAGTAAAACCAGTTCCAAACCCCCTGCCATGAAGCCGACCATGTAGGGCAGAACAGACCTATCCTATAGGGTTTTCTCGGCTATAAATCTTTACAGAAGCAGATTGCCATAGCTTTTTTTCCTGGAGGCGCTTTGGTTTGAACTGCTGATCTTTTCGTTGGCCGCTGAGTGATTTAGCCACTGGCTAGCCATGAGCCGGAACCGACTCGACGGCACTTAACACCACCAGGGCTGGAAAGTTGCTGGACTGGGACTCGGAATCCCTGGGATTTGCAGTCTGTCAAACACTCTTAACCTCGCTTTCTAAAGTTCTCACATTGGTTCCTACTTCCGTGAAATATTAAACGAATTAATTAATGTTTGTTGAATGAATGACTGAATAAACCAGTCTCTCTAGGAACTATGGACATTGAGTATTTAGAAAAAATGTAGATGCGGACACTCCTGTGCTTTGAAAGGAAGCTTAATCGGGCTCCCAGGCGTCACTGCGCTTGCTCCTAGTCACAGGACTGCAACAGAGTTAGAGGGCTGTCCACAGGCCTGGAGCCTTGGCCTCTGCCACTGCTTTCCCCACACCTGTCCATTGGCATAGAGGCCCCAGAGGAAAAGGAATTTACCTAAAGAAGGTAAAGACAGCTCAAATTACAAGGGGGAAGGGGGCTTGCTATGAATTGAATTGTGTCTCCCTCCCACCACCCCACCCCCAAATACATATACATATGGTGTAAATCCTAACCTTTATGCCTAAGGGTTGTCTTTGTTATTTAAGGTAGTGAGGCAGGATTAGTGTCACATGTGTCTTGAGTTCCTCTCTTTTGAGATAAGAGATTAAACAAGCCAGCAAAGATGGGGTAAGACACATGAAGCTCTCCAAGGCATCAGCAATCAGAAGCTCCAAGGAACAAGAACCTTCCTCTAGAACCCACAGACAGAGAAACTCTTTCCCCAGAGCAGTGTCCTGAATCCTGACTTCTAACCTCCTAAATTGTGAGAGAATACAGTTCTGTTGGTTAAAGCCACCCAGTTGTCATATTTCCATTAAAGCCGCACTGGAGTCCTGGATTAATGCGCCAGACTGCAAAGTTGCTGTGGGTTACTGTGCCAGACTGCAAAGTCCTTTGAACTGCAAGGTCGGCGGTTCAAGCTCACCAGCTGCTCCTCAGGGTCTCTATGGGTCGGAACCGACTCGACAGCACTTAACAACGACAACAACAAGAGAACTTAAGACAGGATTCTTGATGCCTGGTCCAAGACTCTTCTAAAGAGAGAGAGATGGAAGGAAGAAAGCCCCAGAAAGACTCAGGAGACCACAAGAGCCACAGGTTGCCTCCGTGCCTAGTTTGCAAACTACCCTAGCCCTTCTTGGGGAGGAAGGAGCTTGCAGGGCTGAACAATCCTAGGACCTGAACTGAAGAGGGAGTGAGAAGTGGGAGGCAGGGGCTGCCTCTCATTCTCAAAGGGCTCATTTTGCCTGCATCTCTATTCTGCCTTTTGCCAGGAAATGGGTCCTCTTTCATTCCCTCCTTCTGCCTCCTCATCTCCCCAGGCCCCACCAGAAGCAGCCCACTTTCAGGAAATTTAGGCAGGCATTTTTCACATCTTGTACATGAACTCCATACTGGGCGGGCGATGCATGGGTCCCAGAGACTTGGGCGGGCGATGCATGGGTCCCAGAGACTGTAGGCTAATTAAGGAGAAAAGAAAGGATGGAGGTGAAACCAAACCCCCATAACTTAATTTGAATCCTTCTAGAATATCCTGGTGTAGTGCTGTAGGATAAGCACTAAACCATCACCCACAAGGTCAGTGGTTCAAACCCACCATCAACTCCTTGGAAATTCTATCTAGTTTTGCTATGCATGGAAGCACTTAGCAACAGTATAATTTCAGACTCCTGGTGTGGTGGTGTAGGATATGCTTACTGCAAGGTGTCAAGCCCACCAGCCAGTCAGAATGCCAGAAAGGAACCCTGGTGGCACTGTAGTATCAGCATTGGACTGCTAACCACAAGGTCAGCAGTTCAAACCCATCAGCCACTGCAATGGAAAAAGGTGAGCCTTGGAAATTCTATGTAGGATCACTATGAGTCAGAATCTAGTTGATGGCAGTGGGTAGGTTAGAATGTCTGAGCTTGAAAGGCCCTCCTATTCCATCTCCTCCCTTTTACAAGATGAGAAACAGATCCGGAGTTCCCAAGAGCAGTGGCATACATACCTTGCAACTGAGTTAGGTGGGAGTTTGGGGGCCAAAGGCCTCCTGGCTCCTCCTCTGCCCTGTCCCCTAGGATTCCCACTCTCAGCACCTTTCTGATACTCCTCTTCCCCTTGTGCCTGGCAAAAAACAGACGTGCAACCACCTATCTGGCTAAGTGGAGAAGGAGGTTCTGTTTGTTAGTATATGTCACAGGGAACTGGCTTGCAGAGTCCAGGCAAAGAGCTGTTTGGCTGGTCACCACCTAGAACGTGACTCTCTCAGGCTCCAGACAAAGTACTGAATGTTCAGCAGAAAAGCCTCAGTCCCTCAAAACACTCCAGGCCCCAGAGTGCTGAACAGGAGGCTGTCAGGCCCCTTACCCATGCACTGACACAGTCGCACACACAAACACACACTCTCACTTGCACACATGTGCACATTCATGCACATACACACTCACACATACACGCGCATATGTCTCTTGCTACAGAGTCCCTACTAGGTCATCTGGACCGTACCCCCACCCCACCCCCAATGCCAGTGCCCTGCTGCCGCCGCCGCAGTGTGCAGGGAGTCAGGGGGAAGCAGAAGCCCCGGAGGCAGGGAGGAAGAGGAGGGCGCAGAGACCCTCATGCCCATGGCCCTGAAAGGTGGTCCACTGGAGGGGCTCGCTGGGTGGAGGTGGAGTAGCTATTCCACTGACGCAGCCCGCAGCCCTGGTTGAGCCTCCTTTGTGCGGGCGGGGCAGCCCTCCCTTCCCCCTCCTAGCTCCACCGTCCCTCCCGCCGCCCCTCCCCCGTGACGTCACCCCAGCCCCGTCCGGGGAGCCGGCGGAGCTTCTCAAATTCAAACTGCGGGCGCCCGGACCGCACCACTGCCGCCGGCCTGCTCCAGTCCGGCGTGGCAGATGCTCTGTGCCCCGCTTGCTCTAGCCAGGCAGCCCCTCAGGAGGTGGTGTCCGCTCTTCCCCGCTCCCCTGCTCTCCTGCTGAAGATGCTGAGCTCCTGGCCGGTGGCTACGGAGGGGGGTCCTATCCGCTCCTGATGCGTGAGTACCCCACCCCGAGCCGAGTACTCTAGGGTCTTCCATTCCTGTTCCCCGATGTTACCACCCCCTCTTTACGCAGTTAAAAAAAAGTCCAGCCTTTTCTGCCATGAGCCTGGGGAGGCGGCGAAGGGCTGGATTTAGCAGGACAAGTCGGTTACTTGGCTCCACGGCCCAAATGTGACCCATGGGACTTTGGGGCCCCTGTGCTTGGAGCCTGGACTGGGTGGCAGGGCAGGGCGCCGCGTTGGAGACGCAGTGATTCCAGCCTAGCGGCACCCCAGGCTCCCAGGCTCCCTCTCCGCCTGGCTTGGCCGTGTTAACCAGGCTTCCTTCCTTCCTCCCTCCTCTGTCCCTGCACCCGCTCTCCCCTCCGCCCTCCCCTCAGGTTTGCCTGCAGGTGCGTGAGCTGAGCCCGCCGGTGCCCAAAGATGCTGAGCGGCGTCTGGGTCCTCAGTGTGTTAACCGTGGCCGGGATCTTACAGACAGAGAGTCGCAAAACTGCCAAAGATATTTGCAAGATCCGCTGCCTATGCGAAGAGAAGGAGAACGTTCTGAACATTAACTGTGAAAACAAAGGATTTACAACTGTCAGCTTGCTCCAGCCCCCCCAATACCGAATCTACCAGCTCTTTCTCAATGGAAACCTCCTGACAAGACTCTACCCCAACGAGTTTGTCAATTACTCCAACGCGGTGACTCTCCACTTGGGGAACAACGGGCTCCAGGAGATCCGGACTGGGGCCTTCAGTGGCCTCAAAACCCTCAAGAGACTGCACCTCAACAACAACAAGCTCGAAGTGTTGAGGGAGGATACCTTCCTGGGTCTGGAGAGCCTGGAGTACCTCCAGGCTGACTACAATTACATTAGTGCCATAGAGGCCGGGGCCTTCAGCAAGCTGAACAAACTCAAAGTGCTCATCCTAAATGACAACCTTCTTCTGTCATTGCCCAGCAATGTGTTTCGCTTTGTCCTGCTGACCCACTTAGACCTGAGGGGGAATAGGCTGAAAGTCATGCCTTTCGCTGGCGTCCTTGAACATATCGGGGGCATCATGGAGATTCAGCTGGAGGAAAATCCATGGAACTGCACCTGTGACTTGCTCCCCCTCAAGGCCTGGTTGGACACCATCACTGTTTTTGTTGGCGAGATTGTCTGTGAGACTCCCTTTAGATTGCATGGGAAAGACGTGACCCAGCTGACCAGGCAAGACCTCTGTCCTAGAAAAAGCACCAGCGACACCAGTCAGAGGGGCAACCATGCGGACACTCACCTCCAAAGGCTGTCACCTACCATGAATCCTGCTCTCAACCCAACCAGGGCTCCAAAAGCCAGTCGGCCACCCAAGATGAGAAACCGTCCAACTCCTCGGGTTACAGTGTCCAAGGACAGACAAAGCTTTGGCCCGATTATGGTGTACCAGACCAAATCGCCTGTGCCCCTCACCTGCCCCAGTAGCTGTGTCTGTACCTCTCAGAGCTCAGACAATGGTCTAAATGTCAACTGCCAAGAAAGGAAGTTCACCAACATTTCTGACCTGCAACCCAAACCTACCAGTCCAAAGAAACTCTACCTAACAGGGAACTATCTCCAAACTGTCTATAAGAATGACCTCTTCGAATACAGTTCTTTGGATTTGTTACATTTAGGAAACAACAGAATTGCAGTCATTCAGGAAGGCGCCTTCACAAACTTGACCAGTTTACGCAGACTTTATCTGAATGGTAATTACCTGGAAGTGCTGTTCCCGGCCATGTTTGATGGCCTGCAGAGTTTGCAGTATCTCTATTTAGAGTATAATGTCATCAAGGAAATTAAACCGCTTACTTTTGATGCTTTGATTAATCTTCAGCTACTGTTTCTGAATAACAACCTGCTACGTTCCTTGCCTGAGAATATCTTTGGGGGCACAGCCCTCACCAGACTGAATCTGAGAAACAACCATTTTTCTCACCTGCCTGTGAAAGGTGTTCTGGATCAGCTTCCAGCTTTCATCCAGATAGACCTGCAAGAGAACCCTTGGGACTGTACCTGTGACATTATGGGACTAAAGGACTGGACAGAACATGCCAATTCCCCTGTTATCATCAATGAGGTGACATGTGAATCTCCCGCTAAGCATGCAGGGGAGATCCTGAAGTTTCTGGGGAGGGAGGTGATTTGTCCAGACTTATCGGATGGAACCATTCTGTCAATGAATCATAACACAGACCCGCCTCATTCACTGAGTGTGTCTCCCAGTTCCTATCCTGAACTGCACACTGAAGTTCCACTCTCTGTCTTAATTTTAGGATTGCTTGTCGTGTTTATCTTATCTGTCTGTTTTGGGGCCGGTCTCTTCGTCTTTGTCCTGAAACGTCGAAAGGGGGTGCCAAGTGTTCCCAGGAGCAACAACAACTTAGATGTCAGTTCCTTCCAGTTACAATACGGGTCTTACAATACGGAGACTCATGACAAGACAGATGGCCATGTCTATAACTACATCCCCCCACCTGTGGGGCAGATGTGCCAGAACCCCATCTACATGCAGAAAGAAGGGGACCCAGTCGCCTACTACCGAAACCTGCAAGAGTTCAGCTATGGCAACCTGGAGGAGAAAAAAGAGGAGCCCGCAACACTTGCTTACACAATAAGTGCCACTGAGTTGCTGGACAAGCAGGCCACCCCGAGAGAGCCCGAGCTGCTCTATCAGAATATTGCTGAGCGTGGCAAGGAGCTCCCCAGCAGTGGCCTAGTCCACTATAACTTTTGTACCTTACCTAAAAGGCAGTTCGCCCCTTCCTATGGATCTCGACGCCAAAACCAAGACAGAATCAATAAGACCGTTTTATATGGAACTCCCAGGAAATGCTTTGTGGGGCCGTCAAAACCCGACCACCCTTTACTGCAAGCTAAGCCGCAATCCGAACCGGACTACCTCGAAGTTCTGGAAAAACGTACTGCAATCAGTCAGCTGTGAAGGAAAATCATTTCCAACCCTAGGGCATCAAAGGATGCTGCTCCAGACTGTCACTGCAGGAAGCATCACATTGTTTGCTTTTGTGTTTGTCTTAGATCTATCCCAGCTTAATGCTGGGAGAAGGTGATGGAAATGTTTGGGGGATGGGGTGAAGCAATGATTCTGCGGTTGCAAGTTTTCCTTTAAATTATTTCTCTCTTGCTCTTTTTGCTCTTTCTCCCCCCTCCTCCCCTCCCTTTTCTTTCCTGCCCTTCTCTTCTTAGGAACCATCATTGAACATGAATGTTTCTACAAAGGATTTTTTTCATATATTTTGTTTATGGTTTTGTTCCGTCTTTTTTTTTTTTTTTTCTCCCAGTATGGGAATGAAAAGAGAAGATTCTAATGAATGAAAACAAAACAAAACAAAAAGAGTAGGCAGTCTTTTCAAGTGAAAATAGATATTTCATGTCTTTTGTAGAAGATCTCCAAAGATCTTTTGGGGCTGTAACTTCTTTTGTAAATAATGATATATGGTATCTCCGTCTTCACTTTCCTATATAGCCAATGGGCCTCCCTTCTTTGTGTTAAAGTGCCTTTGCACTTTAAGTACATTACTTAAATGTTGCTTTTAGCTTTGATCAATTGAACATATTTTAATGTGTTGTATTTTTTGAAATTAAAAATACTGTAAAATAGATTGATATGTCAGCTATATTAAATCAAAGTACAGTTTGCTTGAGTTATAGAAACCAGCCTGTCATCAAATGATTCTAGTTCTAGGATTTTATATAGTTAACTGTAAAATATTTCCTTTCCTCTGGGTTTGTTTTAAGTGATTCTATTTAAAGTCAACTAAGGGGACTTAACAGTGGACTAGAGGTCATAAACTGCCTCAGTCAGGATTAGTAATTCATTAATAAAATATATTTAACCCAAAATCAGAGTGAATTGAACAATTAATGCCCTCCTGTATTCATTATTTTACATTAACATGGTCAGTGTTTTAGATTATTTTCCTAATTAAGAGTACATTACACAACTTGTAATATATTTTTTTCTGCATTGAATTAGATATTTTTATACATTTAAATGAAAAAGTCTGTATTTCTAACTTTTTAATTGAAATTAATATTTTTTCTGCCTATGGAGACATTTTCTACAGACACACACCAGTAGAGGCCGCCACACACCTCATTTAATAAAGACACATGAGCCATTAAATACTTAAAGGAAGACTTCAAAAGTGGGATTGAAACTTCCCAAGCAAGCGCTCTGCAAATTTTCGGCAGTGGAGACAAATGTATCCATTGCTGTTTCTTTCTTTTAGGATCAAAAATTAGACTCAGAATCGGTCTCAGTTTTCACATTTTCAGAGAATGCTGCAGCATTTTCCTCTTGCGTTTACTGAAGCATTAATGGGGTGCTATCAAATCATGTATCATTTGCATCTCCAAATCAGTGAATAGTTACCAAAACCAAGTAAGTTAGCATCTTTTTCCTTCTGCCTTCAGTAGGCATGCGTTACTTGAATTTCACCTGTCAGCTTGAGCAAGCCTTTTGTTGTGATCTTCTCATTAAAATGCTTTTTATTAACCAAGTCCTTCGAACATTTAAGAAGCCTTATTAGCCTGTAAATAATTTTTAGATGCAAACATGATTGTGTGATTTAAACAAACAGCCCTTCTTTACAACAAAAAATAGTTTTGTTTTGTCTATTGTAAATCCTTATGCAACTGGGATGGTGATCTGCATATAAATTAGTCCAGCTTTTCAATTCCTTATTAAAGCAATTGATGGCGTCTGAAAGAAGCGCACTGTTTCCTTTTCATAAATAGGTTACTGCACATAATAATCCTTTATTATCATGTGGAGATTGAAGTGGATTCTGATAACTCACTTTTAAAGCTTTAAACTGGCTAACAGTATATTGTCTGTCACTGTGAATAACTCATGTGCTACGCTTTCAATTCGAAATTCCTTAAATTCAAATTATTTGGATTCTTAATTATTGGTGCAAAATAGCCCTTTAAAAAAACAAACACCATAGAAGGTAATTGTGTGTATACACATTTAAAGGGCATTCAGGAGGAAAATGCCTTCAGCAACTTGAAATTTCAGAATCTTGACTAAGGTGACAAGCTAACATGTTTATCTTTGATGAGAGATCATCATTCCTATTTAAATCCATTAGCTCAAAGGGGAGCATGGTGAAATGATCTACAAGAAAGTGAATGTACAGAGACTGTACCTTTAACAGAAGAACTGGAGTATTACCCTAGTTGAACTTGGAGATGGCTTCGGGAAACCTCCTTGTCTCTGAGCAAAGCAATCATATATATAAAACATTCTTGGCCACACAGAAAAATTGCATTAATCTGAAAGACAGCTGGTTGATTGTTTGTGTAGTGCCATGATTTTACAGAGGCCTCCTGGAAGAAAAATTCATAAACTCTCTTGTTAATCATGGTGACTTCATTAGCGATCCTCAGTCTTCTTAGATTTGTACATTCATTGTCATTCGGTTTTAAGATGAAATTGTTTGAATGTAGCTCAGACTATTCCGTTTAAAAATCATAATACAACATATACTTTTTCATTTAAAACTCATAATGCAGTACATAACTTTGTTCTTATTCTCATTGATTATATTGTTTTACTTTATCCATTCAAGGGCTTTGAACCCGATTTTATTGGTGGTGGCGTATTTTACCGTTATCTCTTACAGCTGGATTTAGCTGCTTCACTTTCCTTTCCTATGCAGCTTGTGATGGTTCTTAGCATCAGCCCACAGAATGTGGTCTGCCTGGATGCTGTCTGGAACAGATCTATAAGTCTGGCCCTACAAATGGCAAATGGTAATTCCTTTCAGTTACAGCTCTTAATTGGTTGCTTGAACTGTTTCTGGATATACATGGAGCTAAATTTGTATTCAAACAGACAAAAGTTCCACTCCTGGGTCTGGACACAATTGCCAAGAGCTGGACTTTGGTCAACCTGCGTGCCTTGTTAGTTCCCTCCAGCAGTTGGTGAGTAAGGAAATGACCCTTCAAATTCCTTCGCTTTGCCCTCTGACTTCTAAGGTGACTTCATGTTTCTTAGTGTTGGGCTCAACATTTTATGGACTTCACAAAGAGCTTCGAAGGAACAGTAGAAAAGGTTCTGTGGGTTTTTCAGCTCTGGAAATTAATTTAGACTGAACACATTTAGAAAACATACTGAATTGGATGGTAGAGTGAAGAAAGCCTTCCAGACAATTCTCCCAATCCATTCTTTTCATTCACTCAATAAATATTCAGTAAGCTCGTGCCTCCTCAGTGCCAGGCTCTATGCTGTATGCTGAAGGAGACACAGATGCAGTAGACAGAATCTCTGCCCCCACCCCAATGAGCTTAATGCTGATAAGGGAGACCATAATCGAATGACAGTCTCCCAAAGTCAACAATGAGAACACTAATGCAAGTGGTTGAGATTTTAAAGGGGGTTCTGTGCAGTAAAATACACAGCTGATATATCTGCAATCGACTAGCTACAGTGTACAGTTGTTGTGAGGTGCCGTCGAGTTGGTTGCGACCCTGTATAGGGTTTCCGAGGAGCAGCTGGTGAGCTTGAACTGCCGACCTTGCAGTTAATCGGCTCTTTAGATTTACACAGATAAAAAAGGGGGGGGGGGTAATCCACAAAAATAAAACACATTTTTGCAGAATGGAGCCTATCATTAGGGCCTGAAGACTCCTATATACTTGTGGTATCGAAAGATCTACATTGTACTGGGATTGTAAATGCAAAATCACATATGTACTTAAGGTCTCTGGAATGTCCATGCTTAAGGGGCAATAATGAATTTAGTGGCTTAAAAGAAAATATGTTGGTGTAGGTATCTTTTACTAATTATACGGTAAGACACCTTAACCCCATAGAGAAAATGGAGTACTATATATGTAGGTGTACTTTGCTTTTCTAACAATGGTTGTACAACAGGTCACATGTAAATTGAAATTTTAAATCAAATTGTATTTGGAATGCTTTAGGGGAGCTGCTACTCAGAGGAAACTTGTGAATCCTTTTATAAAACAGAGCCATTTTATAATGACAATAACCACTCTCTGTTTCGTATGTTTGGATTGTCAATATCGACTTTGCTGAAAACAGAGCCCACTTGCTTACTAAGAGTGCGTTTTTGCCAATGCTGCTTGTGCTACCAGTTTCTTGGTTGCTAAGGGCTTCTACTTGAAAGGCTGCTGCAGTTTTGTATGAATTGAGATATTGAGAGATTCTATGATGGTGCAGTAACATCCCATAACCATGCAGGTAGCTAACCCATCTCAACTCAGTTGAACCCAGGACTCTTCTGTTCAGATATGTCTATATTTCATTAGAGGGGAGAGAGATTCCTGTATTCACCTTCTCTCAAGTGCTTAGAGTTACAGGTTTTATAAGAAATCTATGTTATTATGTAAACATATTGAATTGCATGTGTGTTGGAACTTTTCAGCAGTATTTTAGCTTGAAAGTACTTATACAAATACTGTTAGAATTAGTTGCAAATAATTGTTCTCAAGTTACTGGAATAAATGGCAAATAAAACAAGCTCTCGTGTAAATAATGACATTGTTTCAAAAATAAACGTGGGACTTTGAACTGTTGATAGGCAAACTGAAATAGTGGAAATGTGATTCAATGATGTGCGTTACTGGATAAACTGTTTAAACAATGCAGTTACTTTTTTTTTTTTTTCCAGTTAGCTTACATTTAATAAATGTTCATTAACAAAGGAACATGCAAATTAGTTAGAAAAAAGTTATTTAGACTCTTAATGGGATTGAGGACATATACTGTTCAAATGCTTATGAATTAAGATTATAATCTATGATTATCACTTACAATTTAGGCTAATATTAGCTTTTTTCATACATATGAATGCATGTCCATGACAGTTCATTAGTATCAGATTTAAAAGTAACAACCCAAACTATTCAGAGATGTTGCTATAAGAACTGAACATTGGCTGATTCCCTACTCCCTCCACCACCATACCAAAGGCCAACCATTTATATATATATATATATATATATATTTCTAATATGGCAAGTAAGATCATGTATATGCTGGCATGTAAACCCCAGCGATAGAGAAGCTATGACTATAGTCCTATCAAAACAAATTAGTGAGAGAGAGAAACCTGCAGTTGTTGTTGTCTGTTTGATGGTGTTGTTTATATATGCTTATTGTTGTTATTGTTAAGTGCTATAGAGTCCATTCCAACTCATAACAACCCTGTACAGGGTTTCTGAGGAACAGCTGGTGAGCTTGAATCACCGACCTGGTGGTTCAAACCAACCTTGCAGTCAGCTCACTAATCCACAGTGCCACACTAGGACTCCTTATATTTGCTTAGACATTAGAAAAGATAAAAATATAATAATAAACAATAATGAGTGAAATATATTTTATACATGTTGTTGTTGTTAAGTGTCATCAAGTCATTTCTGACCCATAGGTGACCCTGTATAGGGCTTACAAGGAGTGGCTGGTGAGCTTGAACCAACAATCTTGTGATTCAAGCCAACCTTGCAGTCCAGTACACTAACCCGCAGCACCACACCAGGACTCCATTTTGTATATAGCTAATGAATAATCTCAAGAGAGGATAATTTAGATTATGCCCTTGTGTGTACGATGTTTTTAAGTGTCTTTGAGTTGGTTCTGACTCATAGCAACTCTCTATAGGATTTCTGAGGAGTGATTGGTGAGTTTGAACCACTGACTTTGTGATTACCAGTTCATTGCTTTTTCTGTGGTGCCACACCAGGACTCCCATATTTAACACAGGGATCTTAAAGCCTTTATTACATTGCACATTGGTGAGCCATACCTGGGAGATTAGAATATAGAGAGACATTAGAATATATCTCCCAGGTATGACTCACCAATG